ACCCAAGGTGAATCTTGACAACGAAATGTCGATTACTTGGCTACCAGTGTAACAGAACTAAGACATTATTCCTGTACAATAAATATGTTTTCTATAAGAGCTAAGAGCTAGCTATATACAGGGTAAAGAAGTATATGTATACATATATATTGCACTGATTTATTGCAAAAAGAAACATTAAGTTGAAGACAAAACTAAACTAAGGAGTGTGTATTGTCCATGTTAATGGGGGGTGGAGAAGCTCACCTTTCTCACTTTTTCTTCTGTATAGTTGAATACCTTTTTCCCATTATACTATTCATGCATGTGGTAAGAGCAGGTTTCCCTATAAGATTTATTTCAATTGAGTTAATGCAACTAAAACTACTGAGGTCATAAATCCTCTTTCTAATAGAAAGGGTCAGAATGCACAGAGGAATCACACTTTGAAGCTTCAGAGCTACGTACTTAGTCTCAGATCAATAATTGAGCCTTTGTTGATCTTTGCTGCTTAAAGAGTCAACTGTGGGCATGTCAGCATCAGAACTAGATAACCTGCTTCTCTGTATCATCTTTCGATGATCTGCTACATTCTTACCATGAGGTACATGAGTGCATGGCAAGCGGAAGGCAGTCTGATGCTTTGTACAGTGTCTGCTGCGGATATATCTAAGCATTCATGAAGACCATGTTTATTCATTCAAGGTAAGGTTATTTCCTGAAGTCTGCAGCTGATTTTAGGAAGTAACTCATATCTACAATGAAAATGTAAAATTATTATTATTTAGGACAGACCAAAATGTAAGGTTATTTGCAAATTCTAGTATTTTAAAGACTATAATAAAATAATTAAACAGATAAATTGGAAAATAACAACCTGGCAGTAGAAACAGTTTTCAAAACATTCTTTTAACATAAAACTTGTAAAAACCAGTACCTCCAGTAACAATATTTACTCCTTAATGTATATCAGCTTGACCTCCAAATATCATTGTAGGTTTAAAAATCTTGTGTGCAAAAAGGGGACACTCATTTTGATCTAATAATAAGCTGTCTATCTTTGTCTGGAGCAGCTTCTTCTTTAAAATAGGCATGTGTGTTATTCATTGAAATTACTCAGGATGGTTGGAGGAGCAAAGTAAAGTAGGTAGTAAAGTAAAGAGTATGGTATAAAAGTACTGCTAAAAGTATATTTTTGTCAATGTACTTAGTTCATACCCACCCTCAGTTCCTTTTAGAGTAAAGTAATTTTAGTGCAAACATTTCAAATGTGTCTCTAAATGTAGTTCTTCACAGAGTCAACTAGGTGGAGATGTAGCACTACTGCTGAACACTGACAGTAGAGTCTGGACTCTGCATGATATCAAACTTTTTCCAAAAGTTTTTTTTTTTTTTTTTTTTTGCAAATATAAACCAGGAAAGTTACCCAAACCAAAAACCTGTCTTATCTTTCCTTTTTTTTCATTCTTTTTTGTAAACAAGGTATGGACTAGCAGCACCCAACTCCCTCTCCCCCAAATGACTCTTAATAAGCTCATTTCATGTAGTAACTAGTACTGAATAAAATGTTGTCAATGTTGGCTAATTTAGTCTGACAGGATCTACTTGACAAAATGTGAGTTCCCCATCTCTGTTAAACATGCACAGAACCTCTGCACTGAGTGGAGCTCTGGATGATGAACTGTGGGATCCTAGGTGAATTCTATATTTAACAAACGAGTCATTAAGAACTTGAAGCAGGTATGCATTTTATGATATCCATAGAGAAGGCATGAAAGCTCCAGGAAGCATGCAGCTCCCAGTGCTTAACAGATGATCAGAATATTAACTCAAAAAAGTTTAAACTTAGCAAATAGCTATGTGTTTTTCATAGGAGATGATCATAATAATATTTTTCTTAGTCTGTAATGAAAGAAGAAAAAGATTGTGAGCACTGCAGTGTAGAGTTACTGCTGACATTATCATGAGCTGCTGCTGCATTAAAAATAAAGAGCCTTTTCCTTTTTTCATGACTAACCTTTTCTTAATAATGGACTATCATTACTATGGAGGATGGAATGTTTGATCAGGATGTTCCTTTAATTGGCAATTTCCTGTAACTGGGATTAACAATCCTTCTTTCTGCTTTTGAGGATGTTTCTCTATAATTATCAGATGTGCAAATAACCTTGTCCAATGAGGGGAGCAGAGGACAGATCATAATTTTTTCTCGTTCTCTCCATTTCTGGAGAGGTTTTTTCACATTTAGCATGATCTTCTACTGTAAGGCAGTTGGTTTGGGTCTAAGATGCTAATACAGAAACCAGAGAATAGTGCAGATGTCAGCAAACGCAGAAAGACTATTGGAGGGTGTTGAAATGATAGTGGTCACGTACGATAGATTTTGTGTGTACAAGGGACTTTCAGTTAGCATTACCATTGTATCCTAAACTCATGTTTAATAAACACACAAAAAAAAAACTTCATCAGTTCTCAAATATTAACCTTTGGAGGGTTTATTTCCATCCCACATCAGCGTCAAAACTGTATGTTATTACCTTTTTTTCTTTTTTGCAGTTTGAGTTGCTTCAAACATTTTATTCTCATCCGACAGTAGATGGATAAAACTTAACAATAGTTTTTTTTATTAAATCATGAGAGTATTCATATCCATCCATCTTTTGCCCTTTTATCCATCAGGGTCACAGTGGGATTGGTTCCTCTCTCCAGCAGTCTATGGACGAAAAGCCGAGTACACGCTTGAAAGGTCACAAGTGTATGAAAGGGCAACACACAAACATGCACACACACACCTATGGAGAATCTAGAGATACCACTAAACCTAACAACCATGTTTTTTTTTTTATCTGTGGGAGTAAGCCAGAGTATCCAGAGAGAACCCATGCATGCACTCGGAGAACATGCAAACCTAATGCATAAAGACTCTGGGCCAGTAAGCAAACAGGGCACCACAATGTAGCCAGAATATTTGTATTTCAGGAAAATATGTTAGAGGAAGTTAATAAAGAGTAATAAAAACTTTCTACAGACACCCCAACCTGCTAAAAGGCAACTTAGGAAGATGCTTGACGGAGCCAAAAATAAGGGTGATGCCAAGATGACATTCAGTCCTTAAAAACTAACCCTCATCATCCAAGTCCAATAAATATGGGGTTCCATTAGTGCTAAAAATATGTAAATGTGTATGTGTGATATGTAAATGTGTTATGCATTTATATCCAAGGAAGTTCTAAACTGAGGTTGGATGAGGGGGATGGCATCCCCCTTCTTTAAAATATTATAAAAATCATCCCCCTTCCTAAATGACTATCCACTGTTACTGAATGTGTACAATCTCTACTATATATTAACAGTAATGGAAATAATATTGCCCTTTCAACATTTGGTGGGCTGTGGGTTTACGAGTAGCCTGGGTAGAATAAATAAAATCAAAGAAGTGGCCTATCATGACTATGAAAGCGGATCCCAGTGGGAAATGTGTCCTCTGCATTTGTCCCTAACTATGTAGGAGCAGTGATAGCCATGGCAGTCCAGGGACTGACTGCATTTCTATTGTAAGGTGCCTTGGTCAAGGTCAATGACCCGCTTACCTGACATGTAACAATCATACCATACATATTGCTTTAGGCTAATAGACTATATGAATTAGGCTATGTATGCTTCCAAAAAAAATAAATTCCACCAGCCCCTGTGTTGTTTTTACAACTAGACTACTGAGTATGAATATTACGGCTATGTTAGGTGTATATGTTATGTGCATGTGTTAGGGGCTGAAATTAGATGCTTTAGTTGGGTACTTATGTTAGGTGCTCATCCATTAGGTGCATATTTAATCCAACAAGCTTAGCTCACCTAGGTAGTGTACCATGTAGAAAATCTCAAGCTCCATAAGGTTGGATGTATGTCTGTGCACAGCTATATTCAATCATATTCCTTTTAGGACTTAGGATTAGCTTAAATTTAGGGAGGGGTTCTGATCCACTCATTTGAGATCTTGGCACATAACATAAACACATAACATAAGCAGCTAACATATCCATATAACATATACATCTAACATAAGCAGCTAGCATATGCATATAACATATACACCTAACATAAGCAGCTAACATATCCATATAACATATACACCTAACATAAACATGTTCACATAACATATACACCTTCCCTGGACATAAGTGCACAACACATACATGAAAACATATACATAGATACATCAAGATATTTTTGGCACTAATGAAACCCCATAAAGTTATAGAATAACATTGATAACGTGTTCCAACATACCTTTTTTTTAGATTCTGCAATCTTTTGATAGCTAAATAATGCTTTTTCTATGTCTGCTTCTGTCTCCTTGAACCCTAGTCGGCCTCGGCAGATGGTCGCTCTCACTGAGCCTGGTTCTGTTAGGGGTTTCTTTCTGTTAAAAGGGAGTCTTTCTTTTCCACTGTCGCTACAAGCATGCTTGGTGTGAGGGATTGCCTTCGAGTCAATGAGTCGATGCAATCAACTGGTGTTCCTTAGATAGAAAATCAATCTGACTGTATGATCTGGTTGAATTTTCTCTGTAAGGTGCCTTAAGATGGCATGTGATGTGAATTGGCACTATATATTTTATGAAATTACTGTTTTATTAAATATAAATTTTATTAAATTACAGTTTTTTCACAAATTATAACATTTAAGGGTCTAAGTGTGTTGGGTGGAGGGGAGTCAGACAATAGGATAATGAAATCAAATTGCAGGTAAGAATTGTCTTTATTTTGGTGAGAGATTTAGCTGCAATAATTAAATAAGAAGATTTGTTTGTTTGTTTTTTCAACACAACATAGTGTTAAGAGTTGTGCATCATTTTACATCTGTGTCTCGGTTTGACCAGGACCACACCTTCAACTTATCCGCTTGCAGCATACATAGCCTACCTGGAGGATTGCTATGGCAACAGGTTGCCAGTAGCGACGGGGTACTTCCGTGCCTGTGTTACTGTGGCGATGATTGGGAGAGAGAGAGCGAGAGAGAGAGAGAGAGAGAGAGATAGGGAGCGAGAAAGAGGGGAGGTAAAAAATTAAACACCGCGGAGCAGCAAAGGGTGAGGTCTGCCGGGCTCAGTCAGCATAGACAGAAAAACAGCCACAGTCAGGCTGGTTTGTTTGTCTCTGCTATGAAGTAAGGAGCCCTGCGGTCTGCGGGACGCATCTGCTCACTGCTGCATCTCTTCTCGGTGAAGGAAGCTGAAGGACCTTAGAACCGCATCCAGCGGAATGGAGAGCTGCTGCTGACTGTGGAGCTCCCCTCATAACAACAGGTTAGTGTTGTGAGTCGCTCACTTTCTCCTGCACGACCTCCTATTGATCCAGGAGGAGCTTTAATGCGTTTTTACGCAAAATGTGTGGCACGTTTGAAATTGAAATAAAGGTGCAAAAAAAAAAAAAAAAAAAAAATGGTACTTGGACACGTTTCTAAATCCAGGCACGTGTCCAGCTTTTTATAGCTGGAGTATTACAAACACCTTTGGCTCCATTTAAACGGCGACACTGTTGGAGACTCCTGCGCTAAATCAGCAAACCAGTGGGTGTGTCTACCTACTATAACTCTCTCGTTCAACGCATTTAGATCTATTAACACATTCATTAAACTCTATTTATTAAAAAAAAATGCTTTTCATTCAGGCTGATATTTCTTGTGTCATCAACCTTTTAGTTAATCTTTTTCTAACATTGTTTAAATAAAGTTGGAAAACAGATTTCAATAGAAATTTATTCTTTTTGATACCTCCTTTTTTATTAATATGGAATAACAGGATTTTGTTTGCTTTAAATCAGTATTTAAATGTAGAAATATATTGCCCACCATGAATTGAAGGCTGTTTATGAAAATGTCATTTTGGTTGAATCAAAAATATGCATTTTTGGTTCATATTTGCTGTAGATTGAGGACAAAAAAGAGCCAAAGCTCAGTGATTCTATTAACCTTTTTGTTTTCCCTCTTCACAAACGCCTTTTGAATTCTTTATAACCTTATAACAGACTGTGCCTGCAGCTTATATCAACATCCCTAAAATAAATCTTCTTGTTTTTTTGTTTTTTTTCTATATTTAGCTCAGTATTTTTGTCACATTCAGTCTAGACTGACAGCTTCCCCCACATAACTATCCCCGATGTCATCTTGAGCCAAAATAAGTAATTCTGGTGAATTCTTCCCAATATCTGACCTAATTTATTTGTGTTTCTTTCATGAGATGGTTATTAAAGGAAAACAAAGATGATTTGTTTGAGGAGCAGATACATATTATTTCCTTTTTTTTTCCTGATGACTTCTTTATGAGATGTTAAGCTCTTTCTTAAGTTGTCACTGGGAGCTTAACAGTTTTTCTTTTTTGCGTGCCTCTGAAAATACTGTCAAGAAACACTCCCAAAGTGTGAGCGCTTAGTCATGGAGCCGCTGATACAAATGCTGGGGGGGCTTTGAAGTGAATTACATAACCTTATAACAAACAGTTGATTGATTTCTGGCCTGAAGTAATAATGCTCTGTAACCTGGCTGTGTCATTGAAAGGGCAAACTGATAATAATATGACAGTAAACGCTGATGTAAAAGCAATTCATAAGAGAAAAAAACAATCTTGTTGCTTACCTTTTTTATATCCTCAGTGAAAGCAATGAATCGCTTTAGTGTAATATCATTTTTGTATTTTAAGTGTGATGGATTACAGGCTGCTGATCAGTGAGGTGGGGCTGAAATCTGCTCGATTTGTGTCTCTTCTGAGTTGCAGAAAGATTACCCCCCCCCCCCATTTTATGACAGAGGGAGAAAGCTTCTGCTCTTCTTGTCACTTTGAGTCGTCTCATAACACATTCAGCATTGCTCCCGAGTGATTGTCAGTGTCTGAGACAGCTCTTCACGCTTGCGGAGGCATAGCCGAAGGACACAACCTAAAACAAAAAGAAGGGAACATGGGGAGAAATGACTTTTGGTTATGTAAACGTTACCAAGAATGACAAATCTAAAGATGACTTGGAGGAAAAAAGATCCAGTGGTGTCCTGTTGTATCAAACAAAAGATGAATTATCTTCATTTTAATAAAAAACAAAATGCACTTAGCTTAGATTTTTACAGATTAGTTGAAAAAAATAAATTGATGAAACCATAATGGATAAAAAAAGATGTGGAAAATCAATTCAAAATTATAGATTAAATTACTATCACATTCCTCCCTCAGAATAGAGATTACATCGATATTTTTACTTTAATTTGATGAAGAATCTGTGAAGAGAACTACAGATTAGGATTATGACAAGCAGGCCTTGGCATCTTGGAGCTCAGATTAAAGATAAATGATCTAATTATCAGGGAAATCAAGCAAAAGTATGGTCAGTTGGTAGGATAAGGATTAATTGTTGTCATTTCAAGATATAATAATGAAAAGATAAAGTTTTATGTTTGAAATTGTAATACTTTCCCTTTATTTCGATAATCAACTTATATAATCTGTCTAATTTTCCTCTCAGGGAAAAAAAAACTTTCTAATCTTTATTTCAAGTCTTAATCGGCAATGATTTTAAATGAATTCCTGCTTCAGCTACTTTTATACCCATAGAATCCTTTCAGATAGAACCGTGCCTGTCTCTTTTGGCAGCTTTCACCCTCTAGAAATGTCAAAGTATTTAATTAACAAGAAAAAAGTAATCGATAATTATTTAGCATCGTGTTGGCAGATACTACAGTGTAAGCAATGAATACAAAAATCTTTAAAATCCTAAATGTCTCTTAGAATGTTTAAATAAACAGCTCTTTAGCATTCTTCTGCTGTAGAGATCAAATCTGTTTTCAGCAACATTTCCTCCCTCTGACGATTTTCTCAGCTTTGGAAACAGCATCAAACGGACCCACTTACTGTTTTGGAATTGATTGAATTACCCCTTCCCTGCTTAGCATTGCCTGAAAACTGTCCTCTCGTCGATTTTTTTTTTTTTCTTGTTGTTGTTTGGCCCCATGTTGTTAGAACGAATGATTCACACAGCTGCCAGCTAATTTCACCAAGAGAAAATAAATTTTATGTTTTCCGTTAAGCTCATAAAACTCAACTCCCACTTTCAGGCTTCAAGGTCAGAAGCGTAGTCGCAGTCTGAATAATTAAATTACATGAAAAGTTATTCTGCATTATTATTCTCGCTGACAAAGCTGACAAAGAATAAAAAAAACTATATATAGTCAAGGTTTAAAGGTGAACTAAAGCAAAATAGTCATTTGAAACTTCTGGTCATATATAAAAATAAAAACATATCTGTTATATTTAAATAAACTTGGTTATTCTTATATACAGTGGGGCAAAAAAGTATTTAGTCAGCCACCAATAGTGCAAGTTCTCCCACTTAAAAAGATGAGAGAGGCCGGTAATTTTCTTCATAGATATACCTCAACTATGAGAGACAAAATGAGAAAAAAAATCCAGAAAATCACATTGTCTGATTTTTAAAGAATTTATTTGCAAAATATGGTGGAAAATAAGTATTTGGTCAATAACAAAAGTTCATCTCAATACTTTGTTATATACCCTTTCTTGGCAATGACAGAGATCAAACGTTTTCTGTAAGTCTTCACAAGGTTTTCACACACTGTTGCTGGTATTTTGGCCCATTCCTCCATGCAGATCTCCTCTAGAGCAGTGATGTTCTGGGGCTGTCACTGGGCAACACAGACTTTCAACTCCCTCCAAAGATTTTCTATGGGGTTGAGATCTGGAGACTGGCTAGGCCACTCCAGGACCTTGAAATTCTTCTTACGAATCCACTCCTTCGTTACCCGGGCGCTGTGTTTGGGATCATTGTCATGCTGAAAGACCCAGCCACGTTTCATCTTCAATGCCCTTGCTGATGGAAGGAGGTTTTCACTCAAAATTTGACGATACATGGCCCCATTCATTCTTTCCTTCACACGGATCAGTCGTCCTGGTCCCTTAGCAGAAAAACAGCCCCAAAGCATGATGTTTCCAACCCCATGCTTCACTGTAGGTATGGTGTTCTTTGGATGCAACTCAGCATTCTCTCTCCTCCAAACACGACGAGTAGAGTGTTTACCAAAAAGTTCTATTTTGGTTTCATCTGACCATATGATATTCTCCCAGTCATCGTCTGGATCATCCAAATGCTCTCTAGCAAACTTGAGACGGGCCTTGACATGTACTGGCTTAAGCAGGGGGACACGTCTGGCACTGCAGGATTTGAGTCCCTGGCGGCGTAGTGTGTTACTGATGGTAGCCTTTGTTACTTTGGTCCCAGCTCTCTGCAAGTCATTCACTAGGTCCCCCCGTGTGGTTCTGGGATTTTTACTCACCGTTCTTGTGATCATTTTGACCCCACAGGGTGAGATCTTGCGTGGAGCCCCAGATCGACGAAGATTACCAGTGGTGTTGTATGTTTTCCATTTTCTAATAATTGATCCCACAGTTGATTTCTTCACACCAAGCTGTTTACCTATTGCAGATTCAGACTTCCCAGCCTGGTGCAGGTCTATAATTTTTTTTCGGGTGTCCTTTGACAGCTCTCTAGTTTTGGCCATGGTGGAGTTTAGAGTGTGACTGTTTGAGGTTGTGGACAGGTGTCTTTTATACTGATAACGGGTTCAAACAGGTGCCATTAATCAAGGTAACGAGTGGAGGACAGAGGAGCCTCTTACAGAAGAAGTTACAGGTCTGTGAGAGCCAGGAATCTTGCTTGTTTGTAACTGACCAAATACTTATTTTCCACCATATTTTGCAAATAAATTCTTTAAAAATCAGACAATGTGATTTTCTGGATTTTTTTTTTCTCATTTTGTCTCTCATAGTTGAGGTATATCTATGATGAAAATTACCGGCCTCTCTCATCTTTTTAAGTGGGAGAACTTGCACTATTGGTGGCTGACTAAATACTTTTTTGCCCCACTGTATATAGAGATATATTATATATCTTGGCTATCTTCAGATTAGCAATTAAATACAGTCCTGTTAGGTTGTTATGTAATATGTAAAAGAAATACTGGCTGTATCGCTGCTTTAAAGCTCTAACCGATGCAGAAGTTCCTCTAAGGGGATAAAACATATTTTTTAATCAGGGTTTTTTGAAGCAGTAGTGATTGGGCGTCTGAGCCGTGGGAGCAGTCAGAACAGTTTCAGTTTGGATAAGAACAGAGGATTTGTGATGATGAAACGGAGGGAACAGCTTCTCAGAGTGAAAAACAGCTTGAGCTTTTAAAATGTTGGAGCTGTAAGAGAGAGCAACACGCAGTCGTTTCCTAATACATTTCTAAAACAAGAAACCGACCGAGTCTTTTGTTTAACTATGCCAAAGGACTGAGCCCTAACATAGATACTTTATTTTGTTTTATCCGCTGATGCAAGTTTGGAAGTTTTCATTTCTTTTAATTGCTGTAAGAACAAAAGTCGATGCAGTAGGGATGCACCGATGTGAAAATCGGGGCCTTATATCAATATAGACAATTATGGAAGATAACCGATATTAATGAAAATCATATATCTACTTTGCCGTTGGACACCATAAAAGAATGATTAGTGTTGATACTGGTTCTCTGCTTCAGTTTAACAACATAAATCTTGGGCATCATTACAGTCAATTAACTAAACAAAAAGCACAGGATACCTCCCCTCCTGAAACCAAAACAGCAGTTACATGGAAGTGAGAATATTGGTTGTTTATATAAGCCTGATTTTATTTATGAGACCAATACCAGTATGTTTAAAAGCAACAGACAGTGGCCGATATTGATTTCAATATAGCGTTGATTCCCAATATGTAGTATAAATTCAAACCTTACAGATTTATTTTCAGGTTTGTTTGTTTTTTGCTTTGTTTTGTTTCTCTTTGATGTTTTGGATTATTAAATATGTTTTCAAGTCAGACAAAGATGAGCAGTTTTTAATTTTAGAAAAAGCAAAAATTAAACCAAAAGTGAAAAGAAATTGCAACCTATACCTGGTCATGTTATCAAGGCAGTAAAAATGTGCAACAAAATGCATGTTGTATGACAGCCCTGGTGGCTGAAACATGAGCTGCCTGTGTAAGGTGGTTCACTTATCGCAGCATCTCAATCTGATTTAAGTTAGGCTTATACTTTTATGTATTTATTGCATTTTAAGTTGGGTAAAATATATTTTTCAGATCTTTATCTTGCTGATATTAGACTTAAGGTAGTTACCCCGAATCAGTAACATATAATTAATCTACCATCACAACTATGAGATGTTTGAGATGTTGTTTTAGTTTTACACCAGATATAACAGGTCAAACACCTTCTGAAAAATTAAATTTTGTTTTGCCAGTCAACAGAATGACGATGCCTCTCAGCTGCTCCCTTTTTCAGGGGAGTCATTCCAGACAGCGAGTCATTCCAAGTGTTTAGGCATTTTGCCCTTCACTGAGTCAAACCCAGCTCCCTAGAATTAAAGTCAGATCTAATCCTATAATCACAAGGGACTACTTTTATCTCTACTCTTGGACAGTAGAGATGGCTTTTATGTTCTTTTAAGTTAGCAGTGGTTTTTTTACATCTAAAATTACAACTACTGCACTGATTTTTACTGAGTTGAGTGAACTACATTGTTTAATATGTCTTGAGTTTGTTTGTGACCCCCTGGATGGGTTCACGGTCCCCTCTTGGAGTAATTTTGATATGCTGACCAACAGATGCCAGTAACTTCATTACTTATTGTTTAATTTCTTTTATCGGGGTATTATGGTTAGCTTTTTAAAATCATTTAGCCACTTCATGGTGTAAGTAATTTAGTTCAATTTAACTGAGCTTTGCAAAAATAAAAACCACAACTAAAATACAGTGAATAACTGAACTCAGTATTACTTTACTCTGCTCAGTATCAAACTCCTAGTTTAAGCTTGAAAAAGAAATTTAATCTTTAAGAAAACCTTATTGTTTGATCAGTGAAGCCAGATTTAATCTGTTTAAATAAATGGACTAAATTCCTAGTTTTGCAGCTTAAAAAATGAAGAATAGTGATTATTAGGCAAGCCTGATATTTTAGTAGACACCACAGATAAAGCCTAGCTTGCTCTATTTTTTATTTAAAAAGGAAGATTCACTGTGAAAAGAATACGGATTATGTTAGTGGTAACAAATGTCGTGTCTGAATGATGGTAACCGTAAATGAAACTCTCCCCAAAAAAGCTGCCCCTGCAAAGAGTCTCAACACAGAGTGAGAGAGAGAAAGAAAGAGAGAGATTTTGCAGGGGCATCTTTGTAGGATGTAACTCCCACCTGTCAGGTGAAACTAGATCTTTAACAACCTAATCTAAGGCAGCGAGAAGGAAAAGACATAAGGCTACCAAGCCATCACTATACCTTCAAACAACCGTGTATTAAAACATTATTTGCTTTATTTGTTCTGTTAAGTATTTTGGATAAATTATGGAGATAAATAATCATAGAAACACTAAAACTATGATTTAGTGTGGACTTTAATCCCTCTAAGGATAAATGAGCAGCTTGTGCTTTACAGCTTCACTAAGGTTTGTTCGTAAAGTTAGAAACATGAATCTATTTTATCATTTATTATTTTTGTTTCCACTAAGTTAGATTTAAACATTTACAGCGTATTTCTTCAGACCCCTGCCTTGGCCCAGTGCTTTCTGCTCTTTGGCTGGAGGGAACCGATTAGTTTTAGCACTTCTGAAGATTTATTTCAACAGGATCTATATATATAGCCCCAGTGCAGAACGAATACCCTCTCGCAACAGTTAAATTTCAGTGGTTTAATCTGGATTAAGTCCAATTTCTACTGACACAAAACAGATTCATTTCAGCAAAGCGTGATTATGATCAAAGTGAATGTAAATTATAGCAGAATTTGGTAAGATTCAGTTAACTGTTTATGGCTTTTTGGTGCAATATCCAAAGAAGCCCAGAAGATTGTTTTGAAGTTTGCAGTCTACAGAAATCCCTGAGTGTGGCATAGAGGAAAGGTACCACTTTCCTCTAACTTCCTTTCCCGCTTGTTCGAAATAGATTATGGACACTAATTAATCCAAAATATCCTGAGCAACCTCTTGCTAGTAGATCTTATTTATTGTAGTGACATAAACACATTTGCTTAGGAGCCATAAGTAAAGTCAAATGTTTAAATCATAATTTCTTAAAGTAGGTACAAAATTATCAGCACCCACTTCAGGGTCTCGCACTCCTCGTACTTGTCGATTCCACTTAATCCGGGACCAAGTTGCAGCCTTAGCAGCAACTTCTAGACTTCCTTCTCCCTAGACTCCTCCTCCAGCTCCCCTTGGAGAAGCCTGAGGTGCTCCCAGGCCAGTCAACAGACATAGTCCCTCCAGCGTCCAATGGGCCTCCTCCCGGTGGGACATGCCTGGAACACCTCCCGAAGGAGATATCCAAAAAAGATGTCCACGCCACCTCAGCTGAATCCTCTCAATTTGGAGGAGAAGGAGACTAATCCGAACCTCTTATGAAAGATCGAGCTCCTCACCCTATCTCTTAGGGAGAGCCCAGCCACCCTGCGGAGAGTGCTGATTTCAGCTGCTTGTATCTGGGATTTTGTTCTTTCAGTCAGATCCAGAGGTCATGACCATAGGTGAGGGTAGGAACAAAGACCGACATCAACAAAAAAACACTTGTCCGTACATCGGTCCTAATCACCATATAGGGCACTATACACCAATGGTGGTGACACCATTTTAAATGAGTGTCTAGTGGGTAAAAAAAAGTAGTGGACTCGAAATCTCCCACAATAGGCCGTAGAAAGTAGTATTTGCTCGTCTCTCGATGGTCACTAGACAAGCAGATATATCCTGGAATGCTTTGCGAGAGCTCTTCTCGCAAAGCATCATGGGATTTATTATCAAATCTGTCCGCTGTCAGGTAGTGTGAGTGGTGACAAATAACAAAGATGGTGCAGGCACTTTGTGGTGAGGTGGAATTGCCTGACCAAAGGCAAGCAAAACTGGGTTTGCTATAAAGTCCTCTATATAGTCCCCTCCCGGTATTGTGATTGAGGGATTTAGGGGTTAGGGCGGAAGTTCGGACACAGTCTTTATTAATAAAAAGCAATATTTCTCAGTTTAAGAATCAAAACGTGAATCCACAAACCAGTGAGTTAGATCACATTACATGTTTTCTGTACAGCTAAACAATTACATTTCTTCAGTTAAGGTCCAATAAAATGACAAAGTAAAGAAGCACTGCTGAATACGGAGATTAGCATCAGAAGGTCACCTTTTCTGATAAAGGATATGGTAAATGAGTCAAAATCCATTTATATTTAAGGTCTTTGCAGCATTTAACAGGAACTGTTTTCTGCATCTGCTCGGTAATCAGTCCATCATCCTCGTGCTGTAAACCGATCTGGAATCATGCTTCATTAATGGAACCTTGTCTGGGGAAGATATTTATTTTTCCTCATACCTGCCTGTACTCAAAAGTAAATGTTTCTCCCAAATTGAAATTACTGCTGCAGATATGCTGCGTATCAGAGTAACTCACAGAGGACAGGGTTAGAAATGTTCACAGTATCAGCTTGCATAACCATGCCAGTGACTTATCTTCCTCCAGACCAAACTGCCTCCAATAAATGTTGCAGAAGTAAAACTCCTCATTGACAAATTCAGCCCCCTGAAATCTCAGAGTCTCATGCCCAGATGACTCCCCTGAGTTGTTGTTACTCACCGATTAGGCGTGGTGGCCTGAAGCCCGGAAATAGACTCATCCAAGAGCGTAGTTGTTTGGGCTGAGACTTTTTACGTCCATTTACGAAGTCTGGAGGCTTATTTATTTTTTCTGGTTTTAATATTTCCGCTGTAAAATCTCAGAGAAAATCTCTAATATCTGCTTGGCTTTTCTCACAGGTCATTTTCTTCCAGCTATTCTTCCCCTTAAATCTTTCAACAAACGACAAAGAGCTGGAGCCGAGACGGTCAAGCATGGATGTGCCCAGGATGGCCGAGGGCCTCTTCAGCAGCACGCTGTCCTCGTCGGGTGGTGGCCATCATGTCCCCTCCTACCTGACGTTGGAGCAAAAGGCGGCATTTGTCTTTGTGCTGCTGCTCTTTATCTTCCTGGCGCTGCTCATCGTGCGCTGCTTCCGCATCCTGCTCGACCCTTACCGCAGCATGCCCTCCTCCAACTGGACAGACCATACTGAAAAAGACACCTTTGATTACCGCATTGTTTGAGGAAACCAAACACATTAGGAACATTTTTTTATTTCATTTAATTGATGCTTACAAAGCACTTTGACCCTAAGTTCAAATGACTGTTCATTCACTTGGGAAACTGACGTTTTTTCTGAGTTCTGAAAGTTCAGATTGATTATAGGATCAGTGATTAGTTGTGATCAGTCTAACAGCTTCTTTCTACCAAACCGTACGGTTCTCGGCCAATAGATTCACACCAGATCCATAATTTGAAGCAGATCGTCGCTCCTCTTACTGAAATAATAAGAGCCATTAAGGGTTCAGACAGGAAGTAAAGTCTGATACTAAGAAGCTAGTTATGCTCAAGTCACTAAAATAGACTTTGGACTTGACTTAGACTCGTGCTTTTAGGACTTGACTCTGATGGAAGGTCTCAAACAATTTTTGTCTTATTTCATTATGGGTGACATCGGCCTATCAAGTGTTGATTGGCTGAGTCACAGTATATCCTGATAAAGACTGACTAACATAATAATTTAGCACAGATTGAAAATACCTTCTTTGCATTATTTATGAACAAAAGGAGTTAAATATTGCATTTGATTTATGAATACAGTACCGTTGACATATTGTGGGTTTTTAAGAGTTCACCACTACCTGTTTGTGTTTGTTGCAGAACCAATGAACTCTGAAATGACTTAACTTAGGCGTGAAATAATTCTCTTACAAACATCAATTTAAGGACCTTCGTGGTTCATAAGAAGACAAAAGCACTCCCTGTTCGATTCAATTGGAAATTTTGAGAACATGAACCTTTTTTACCTAATTTTTTTTTGCCTTTCTTTGAAACAAACATATTTGTATTTTTAATGGGAAAACATTTTGACCAACTGATTTTCAAAATGATAAAATGATAAATATTTTTTGCATAGTTTGATTGAATAGTGCAAAATAACAGGCTTCAGAGTAATGATTTTAACTCATAAGCTAAGGCAGGTCTGTATTTAGGACATATCACTGCATGGATCCTGTGTTAATATCGGTCATTAGAAACTAAAGCCTATTTCATCAAAGCCTGGAGATTTGATTTGCAATGAAAGACTTGAGACGTGACTTTGACCTACACTTCAGAAACCTTATTAAGACTTGGAAAAATATGACTGTGGAACTCTCTGCAGCTCACAAAAGCTTTCCTCCCTCCATCTATTCTTTTGTGGACTACCTCACTTCTCCGTCTCATGTATGAAGGTTTTTCTTCACAGCTTACACAGGGTCCAGTGTTTTTGATAAACAATCCAGATTAAATGGTGGCAGTGTTTACATCTGACAACGTTCTAGAATTTTTATGGATAATGTAGACAATCAGTGTTTAAACTAGTTTGAAAAAAAGCGCGGTCTGACTAGTTTGGGTTGTTGAGGTCATTTTTTAAGAGTATTTTCTTAATTTGCAAAGAGGTTTGAAAGACTTATGCATGATATAAACCAGACAGAGAGGAAATATTTTGTCTAATTCTAAATAAGATACAGAAAGATTATTGAGGATCATAAACAAGTTTCGGAATCATAAGGAAGACAGTTTTGATTGAAAAGGTCCCTTTAATGCTTAGGAACGATTTGTGACTAGTGCCAGCAGTGAGTTACTTACTGTTATGTATGTGTCATGGGAAAGAAGAAAAATAGCTGAACTCTGTTTCCCTTTGGTAAAGGAGATTTTTTTGGTTTGAATTTAGTGATAAACAACCAAAACATGGGTTGAAGTAAAAAGAAACATTTACTGTGCTGTACTGTGTGCCTAACTTAAAATATGTTTTAGGTGAAGGAGTGTAATGGGTTCATATTTTGTTCTGCTTTTTTTAAATTATATTGCTTTTCTGTTGTTTGTATAAATGGGTGCGTGCATTCGTGTGTGATGGCCATTAAAAAAAAAAAAAAACTAAACAGCATTTTACTGCCTGCAGTTGGTATATTGACAGTTGGTATGCCAAATCTGCAGAGAGTTGATGTTGAAGATGATGAAGCATTTTCACATCCAACCCTTTACAAACTAATGTTGTGGCTCTTTCTTTGGGCAACTTTTCAACTGTGCGCCTTAGAGTGTAGATTGTTTACATTATCGTAGGTAGCAAACACACTGGAAACAACAGTGTCTTTGCTCTTCACCGATGTCATATAAGTTGTTAAAAATGACTGAAAAACAGTTATAAAGAAAAAAAATTCTCTGATCTTGTCCCTGGTTGGACACGAAGTGAACTGTGATCCTTTTGATGAAATGTAATGTTCTTGTGGTCTGCTGTGGCCTTTTACTGCATAATGCAGATGTTGCAATGTTGTGCTGAAGTGAGTTTTTCCCTCTTGTTTTTTTTTTTTTTTCTGCACGTGTATTTTGCACAGTATCCTGTCTGTGCATGATAGATGGTGAAGTGTTTTAATGTTGTACTTGTAGGTCAGTTGCTCAAGCAGCCTTTTTTGCTGTCTGTTTTGGAGCCTTTTGTTTCGATCTGTATTTTCGCCTTGAGCTGCTCTTCTTTTTGTAATAAAAACAATTGGAGCTCACAACTCACTTTTTATGTCTTTTATTTAATCATGTTAATCAACAAGGCTGTAAAAGTTGGCTGAGTTAAGGACAAACACATCGAATGGGTGAGGAAATGGTTCTTTCAATCCCTCCTGACCTTTATAAGGCAGCTGTATCTGCCTGAGGCGTACGCATTCGTTTCCATTTTATCAGGGACTGGCAGGGGTAGCTAGCAGGTGTCTCCATTGTTTTTTTTTTTATGAACGCAGACACTTAGTCTGGATACAAACACACACAGAGAAGTCTCCATGCATTAGACCCAGAACTTCTCCTTTGAGCCAAAACCCTTTATAACGTGCAGAATAACAATCTCCTCTATCCGCCATTCTGCATACGCTGATATGCAATCATCTACACAACAGCAAAAAGCTACTAAATCATTTCTTGCCTCATGTATCCATAGCATCTTTCCTCTGCAAGAGGATTTGTGAATCTTTTGCTAACTCTGCTGATGTTGCGCTTTCTGTTTCTTATTTATTCCCTTTTTCATGCGAGGGCAGAGGAATAGAGATGTGGATCAGAATTTTAAACAATGAACAGCCTGTGCTCTTTTGGATTATTATGTAAGAGGCATCCAACATCTTCACCAAGCCTTTAGTGGTTTTTAATAGTCAGTATATTAAAAAGGAAAGCTATCCATTATATATTGCACTTTGAGGATAAACAGTTATCTTACAGTCATAAAGAGCAGGAGGAACCACTCTGTTTCATAGATGTAAAATAATAAAATGACTTAAATACAGCCTATATATGCCATGCAAGTTCACCAAAAACATGTCACCTGAAGGCAGATGCTCCATTTAAAAAAAAATAACATTCAGTATAATTTTGGCTAGTTATCGTAGGAAAATGACTGTTGCACTGAGTCTGATTTTGCAACACACCTTCATCCTGAGTAAGCGTGTGCTGGCCTTATTTTAACCTGGAAAGACACAAACAGATGACAAGCAACAAGTTGAGAATTTTATTAAGATGAGAAATAAAGCTTTTGGCATCCCAGTGGAAGATATAAGCATATCAGAGAATGTTATGATTGAGCAGGTGACATTGGTGGTGTAAGAGAGAAGTAGGTGCAGTGGTGGCTAGTGGGGTTTTCTCCAGGCAGGGCTATAAATTCAAAATAAAAGCATGCCAAAAACCAATCAAATGTATACTAAGTTATCACACCTGCATATTTATATGAATGCCAACAACAAAAAACAATATAAAAACACCTTAAAAACGAAAAACATGTACAGGTTTACTTTTTGTACATACATTTTGCCCTTCTGAAGCTTTGTGGAGGCAACTGTGTTTTACATGGTCTAATATGGCATCACAAACCTAAAAAAAATAATGTAACAGTTTAGCTATTTGTCAGCTTTATATTTGTTTTTATATATAAAATCTTTCTGAGATTGTGTTTATTTAAGAACAACTATGCAAATTAACAAACATCTAGAAAAAGTAAACTGTAATATATTATTTTCCATGTGAATCCCAGATTGTTCATGCTTCTTTGTCTTTTCTAAAAAGTGCTTTAAATCAGTCCTATCTTTCTTTATCCATAATGGGTCAGATCCTGACGTTGGAAAAAGGAGGCAGGGAAAGCAGAATAAAGCATTAGCCTCGCTGCATGCAGTTAGCCAAGCCAATTTTGATGTTTGGCTGAATAGGTCCAAATGTTTTCACCCCCAGCTTCTCTTGGTGAGTTTGCTTCCCTTCCACGACGTTGCCTGTCAATCACCCGCACTACAACTGTGACGACAGTTCCTGCCACTTCAGGCCATAGCTTTAGTGCACCAAAAGCTCCACTATACTTCTGTATTGCAGACGAGCTACTGCGCCTGTACAACTTTTAACAAGAGTCAATGAGCAAACATTTTTGTGCCCTAGTAGCAAAAATACATCACTAATCCGATGAAAAAAATGAAACAGCTTTACTCATTATTAAAAATAAAATATTTATCTTGCACAGCTAAAAAATATATATTAGAAGTATTTTTATCTTATAATTTAATTTTAATTTGTTTTGTTTTTTTTATGTTTCAATTATGGTGATTGGGTGGGTAGGGCGGCGCCCTAGCTCCCTCTATTGGCCAGCCACCACTGAGTAAGAAAGGAAAATGAGGAGGATGGTGGAGATGTGGGGGGTGAGGGTTGAAACTTGATGGGGCTGAAAGCAACACAGTCTTTTAAGGCAGAGTCCTAGATGATGAGTGGCCATGGCTGAGGTGTGCACAGGGCTGATATGCTTTCAGCAGCAGAGCATCAGAGGGTACATGAATGAGAGGTGAGGCTTAAATAAATCTTTCAGTCTGAATTTTCACTTAAGCTTTATTTAACAGTAAAAAGTCTCAGCAAAACCAGGCTTTATAGGGAGGCTGTCACTTATGTGGGTTGGAATTCAGAAGATATACAGAAAACCTCCAGAAGCACTAGGTTTACTTCCTATGCATTGAAAAAAAAACTAATCTTGTGGAAACCATAGCCAGTGTTGGGCACGTTACTTACGCCGTTACTCCCATCACTGACCATAGCACCATCAGTCGTTACAGCCAGGATGAAGACCCAGATTAATCGAGAAAGACTCAGACTGGTGTCCTTTCTATGGGCAAAAAAAAAAAAACTGAAGGGATTAAGCCTGCAAAAATGTATGACAACAAAAAGTCTCCCAATAACTGCTTTAATTGACAGCACCTTCTATTAAAAGAACAAATGGAGAGTGTGCAAAGTTAATAGCAGTAAATGCTCAGGATTAAAGACTAAATGCTTGTGTTATGGTTTATTCAGTGCAATTACAGGCAGTTAACTGAGCTGTTGATATAAGCTGAAGCTGGACTTCAACACACTATCACTTTATATCAAATCTCTGCTCAGGGGGTTTCAAATTCTGATAATTTCAACTGATACCCAAAATAGAGACCTATCATTTGGGAATGAAATGGCTCATTTTCTGTCCCTAAAATCTCATTAGCTCTTGCCAAACAAACCGTCTAATCCCTTCTAAACACACCCTTACCAAGCCAGTTGAAGCGTTGGCTAGGAACACAAGCTATTATGAATCAATACCACTGTCATGCTTTTTGCAACATGACTCACAATAAAGAAAGCCACATTGGTAATTAAATTATTCTTTGTCTCTGCTGTGCATGCTCAGATGCCTTACACCGAATTTATTCTGTCCCAAACGCCTCATTTCACTATTCAGCCTGCATGCAATTTAATGCTTTCTGAACAGGTCGGAAGGGATTGCTCCCCTGTGAATGTTTGAATGTGAGTTGCTGAGCAAGATGACATAAGATGACTTAAGGGATGGAGTATTGATGTTAGATAATGAATTTCAAGCAGTCCTTTTTATTCTCAAGTGCTGATGACTTTCCATCACATCCTTCTTTGACGAAGTTTAAAGTTTCATAGAACATTTCCAGGAAAGAAAAGGACGCTGCAGGATATTTAAGTATAACATTTTAGAAAGAGCATTACATTGCTGACATGCTATACTTTAAGTAGATTATTAATATAAAATGGATGCATGGAGGGAGGCTTCATAACAGTGAAATCTTCTTAACTTGTCTTGATAACACTATAATATCTATATAACATCAATATATATTTGGTTTTTCTTTTAATATTTTGACCTCCAAATTCTCGCATCTGTGTGGTATTAACGATGTATCTACAGGAGGGGACTGTAGATACTGCAGAGGTATTTTGTTTTACACAAAAGGCTGCTCATAGCATCTTAATGACCTTTTACAAGGGAAACAGCTTGGAAAAATGGGATATGTTTAAACATTTGCCTTCACAGATGGACGCTGAAACTGAGATATATATAGTTTAGTGTAAAGTGGGCAGGATGAGATTTGCTCCTAAAAGGCCAGAGGTTCCTTCTCCTTTTTCTTGATTTTAAATGTCTGTCATAGCAGCCTGTGTTTAAGTTTAATGTTCATTCTGTGATGCTACGGTGTCACATAAGATGGACTGATTAATCTGGGCTGTCCAAAGAAACATGACAGCTGCTCCAGTTTGTCATAATGAAAAATGAGGTGAGCTGAGAATTGATTGTATTTTCAAAGTACCAAAGCTAAAAGGTTGGTCTCCACCAACCTTAGGCTTAGAGGTAAGAAGTAAACTAAATCTTCTCATAACAGCTACAGATTCAATTCAGTTTATTTATATAGCGTCAATTCACAACACAAGTCATCTCAAGGCACTTTACAGTTCAACCAGATCATACAGTCAAGGATGGTTCTCTTCAGATGACAGAGTAGCTGTTTAAGGGATTATAATCCATAACCTGGGATTGCTTTGATAGGCATTATAAGATTGCTAGTTATCGGGATGAGTGGGGTTACTACCTGGATCTATTACCCCTA